CCGCGGCTCTATTTCCTTTCGCTTCCGCAGAGTTGGGGGTCGGCTACGTACGTCCTACCTCCACAGGTCAGGTTATCAGCTGCCCCAGCGCACTCGCTGCTGCTTTTATCACAGATCCCGCCCCCTTTTCGGGCCCCTCCCCACCTCCGTCAGAGAGGCCAACTGGATATGCCAGAGGAGCTGGACTGTGTGAGCCGTGGTCACCAGCCCAGAATAGAGATGACACTGAGCCGCCACAGGGGATTTTATGCCCTTCCAAGAATCAGGTCTGGGGGCCAGGATTGTCCCCCAGTCAGAGCCATTGGAGTGTGACCACGGGATCATCCATTCTTGGAACGTCTCGCCTTTCTCTGATCACGCACAATCCCGTTGGCACATTGGGGTTAGGGAGGAGGTATGCTGTGACACACTGATACCTTGAAGACTGGCTTCCTTCACTCATCCATCCTGGGCTTACTGTGCGGCAGGCTCGGGCTGGGCTTGGGGATCATACAGATGAAGACGTGGACCCAGTCCTCAAGGTGCCCACGGTGTCGGGAGAGAAACCTTGTCATACGCTGGGAAAGGCTTCCGCCCTCCTCTCTCTACCTCATACCCACCTTGGTAGTCTTTGGGACCACCGCCGTGCCTCTGGCACTTATTGTTTTTATAATAAACCCTCTTTGTGGAAGTATAACATACATATAGAAAAGTGCGCAAAAGGGTACAGTTGAATTATTCCCGAGAACACACCTGTGTAACCGCTTCACAGGTCAAGAAATAGAACTGTTGTTACTTAATTTCCGCAGCTACAATTGTCTCTGGAGACATGTGAGGCAGGGACAGGGTGGGAATGGAAGGGAGATGTGCAGGGAAGCCAACTCGACCCCAGACCTATACCTCCACCCTCGGGGCTTGGGAGGAGAGTCCCCCAACCAGAAGCGTTTCCTGGGACGCTTCTTCCAATCCCCGAGAGGACAACAATCTTCACTATCCTTTAAGCCTTCAAGAGAGACTGGAAGTGAGGAGGGGTCAATCTGGGGTGCTGGCTTGTGCTTCACTTGGCTGTCTAAGACCACAGGACCGGATAGAAAAGTCTGGAAGCTGGAAGCAAAGAGAGCAGCAGTGGATGACTACAACTCCCAACATGCTCCGGGGTACCGACGCCTGCGCAATGAACGCCGGTTGCCCATGCGGCCCTAGGGCTGGGAGCGCCGCGCCGCGCTCCGCTGCGGGGGAGGCCATGGCGGAACCTTCCCAGGCCTCGACCCCGGCCCCGGCCGCGCAGCCCCGTCCCCTTCAGTCCCCAGCCCCTGCCCCAATTTCGACTCCTACCCCTAGCCAGACTTCGGCGCCGACTCCGGTTCCCACTCCGGCACCAGCCCCCGCCCCAGCTGCAGCCCCAGCCGGGAGCACCGGGACGGGGGGGCCTGGGGTAGGAAGTGGGGGGACTGGGAGCGGGGGCGATCCGGCTCGACCTGGCTTGAGCCAGCAGCAGCGCGCCAGCCAGAGGAAGGCACAAGTCCGGGGGCTGCCGCGCGCCAAGAAGCTTGAGAAGCTAGGGGTCTTCTCGGCTTGCAAGGTGGGGGCGGGGCCTGGGGTGAGAGGGGGCGGGGCTTGGGACATCCTAGGGCTCCGGTGGCAATGGGAGCAAAGCCCTGGCTGGGGAGCGGCTCCTCGTCCCTGGAGTACAGGGCTATTGACTGATCCTTCTGCCTTCAGGCCAATGAAACTTGCAAGTGCAATGGCTGGAAAAACCCCAAGCCCCCCACTGCACCTCGCATGGACCTGCAGCAGCCAGCTGCCAACCTGAGTGAGCTGTGCCGCAGCTGTGAGCACCCCTTGGGTAAGGGAGGTATTGCCCTTGGAGCTGGGGGTTGGGGAGAGTCAGGTGCTGGGTCCTGCTTGTACAGGGTGACTTAAGTGCTGCGGAGCTTCATCTCTTAAAAACCAAAGATAACTTCTAAGGAAGAATTGAGTTGGGAGCATGTATCTCCCAAGGGAGGAAAAAGGAAATCTGCCAATTCAGAAGAGACAAGGGGTCACCCAAGGGCTCATACAGGAGCAGTCAGTCTTGTTGCTGGTTGGAGTGGTTAGAGGGACTGAGGGTGTATTTTCCCTGGAGATGAAGTGGGGCAGAAAGCACTGTTGATTTCTTCTGTCCATTCTTCCCAACTCTACCACCTGTTTTTGCAGCTGACCATGTGTCGCACTTAGAGAATGTGTCAGAGGATGAGATTAACCGGCTGCTGGGGATGGTGGTAGATGTGGAGAATCTGTTCATGTCTGTTCACAAGGAGGAGGACACGGACACTAAGCAGGTCTATTTCTACCTCTTCAAGGTGAGCTTCCTCCAAGTGAGAGTGAATGAGCAAAGTTGTTGAGGCTAGGGGGTGTGCTTCTCACAGCTGTGCTGATCTCTGTCCCTCCCTCTTCCTCTCCCTCCAGCTCCTGCGGAAATGCATCCTACAGATGACTCGGCCTGTGGTGGAGGGGTCTCTGGGCAGCCCCCCGTTTGAGAAGCCTAATATTGAGCAGGTGGGGTGAAGATGGGGGCTAGAGAATTGGGGGATCCTTGGAGGAGCGGGGAGCCTGTGTTCTCCATTCTCCTCAAGATAAGAGCAGGGGAGAGGTTCCAAGCAGAGAGGGTGTTTTGTGCTAACCTCAGGGTGTATGTGGGCTTGGGAAGGCGGCATAGTTTCTTTTCACAGAGAGCCACAGAACGAGAGGAGAGTCTTGTCCCTGCCCTCAGGAAACCTCTGTTTTTGGATCAGAAGCCCTTCTTGGCTGCTCATACCTCCTTCCTGGTTCTGTCCTCTGTCCACCCCTTCTTAGGGTGTGCTAAACTTCGTGCAGTACAAGTTCAGTCACCTGGCTCCCCGGGAGCGGCAGACAATGTTTGAGCTCTCAAAGATGTTCCTGCTCTGCCTTAACTACTGGAAGCTTGAGACACCAGCCCAATTTCGGCAGAGGTCTCAGGCTGAGGATGTGGCTACCTACAAGGTCAATTATACCAGGTAGGCCCAGAAAGGAATAGCATGGGGGGAAGCTTGTAGCCCAGCCTGGGCTCATTGGTTTCCCCTCTCACTTACCACCTCGCCACTCCCCTCAGATGGCTCTGTTACTGCCACGTGCCCCAGAGCTGCGATAGCCTCCCCCGCTATGAGACCACTCACGTCTTTGGGCGAAGCCTTCTCCGCTCCATCTTCACTGTCACCCGGCGGCAGCTGCTAGAGAAGTTCCGGGTGGAGAAGGACAAGCTGGTGCCCGAGAAGAGGACCCTCATCCTCACCCACTTCCCCAAGTAAGGTTCTTTCTGGCCTATCAGGATTTTGCCCCAAGTTCACATCCTCCCTGTTGTCCCCTTTTTTCCAGGAAGGCTTCCTGGATTGGTCCCTCCTCTCCCTCCAGGAGCCTTTTGGGATCTGGGTGTCTACCTGGCAGACTTGCCCATGGCCCAGACGCAACTTGCTAGCATTTGCCTTTGCGCGTTCTAGTCTGGGGATGGCAGGTACATGGCCCGAGTGCTAACACTACCCCTGCCCACACCCCTGGTAGATATTACTAATTGTTTCCCACGGGGCCTGGACACAGCCTGAGAATCCTTTCTACCACAGCACTTCAAAAACCAGAGCTTACGCTTGAGGTGAAACTGATTTTCACTCGTTAGTTCTAGTTCTTTCTATAAGATTTTCCTCTGTTTTGTCACACCTTCCTCTCATTTTAAACCTGCTCACAGCTGCCCAGTTCAAGAAGCCTTTACTAACTAATCCAGGCCCTTCAGTGCCCCTTGTGCCACCAGGTGGGAATAAGGTGGCAGGAGGGGGTGGATTCTGAGCCCCATTTTGATACTGAGGTCCGGAGTAACTTGGTGCCCTGTCTGGTCACACAGTACGGGATGGCATCAGACCCTTTCTCCCTGTTCTGTGTACTGTGGCAAGCTGGGCTTCTGGTTTCTGTCCTTGGTTTGTCCTGTCCTCTTACCTTTAAACAGGGTCCCCAAGAAGGAAGGGGACTGTGTCTCCTCCTAGTCTGAAGGTAGAGGTTATCTCTGTTCTTAGGCTCCCAGTTCCTTGAGAACAGGGTCTGTCTCTTTGACCCACCTCTGGTCCCCCTGGTGTCTGGCCCAGGCTGCTCCCTTGGTTGGACAGAGTTGTGGGACAGGCTGTAACCTCCCCACAGATTCCTGTCCATGCTGGAGGAGGAGATCTACGGGGCAAACTCTCCGATCTGGGAGTCAGGCTTCACCATGCCGCCCTCAGAGGGGACCCAGCTGGTGCCCCGGCCCGGTATGTGCCACAGCAGGTTCTGCAGGATCTCTGCTTGGCCTTCCTGGTTGAGCTAGGCCCCCGCTGTGGAAGAGGGGCTACGAATGGCAGAAATGGGGAAATGCAGGAGGGCTCAACTAGGGATTGGAGGGTCCGGATCCCTTTTCGGGATCCACTGATACCTTTGTACCCTGTCTCCTGATTCTTCTGTCTCTCCCTCTCTCTCTCAGCTACAGTCAGCGCAGCAGTTGTTCCTAGCACCCCCATCTTCAGCCCCACAATGGGTGGGGGCAGCAACAGCTCCTTGAGTTTGGATTCCGGAGGTACCGAGCCCATGCCAGGTGGGTACTTGACACCTGACCTCTGACCCTCATTCACCTCTGCCCCAAACTCTCTTGCTATCCCTGGGAGACCTTGCCAACCTCCCCAGCAGGCGAGAAGAGGAAGCTTCCAGAGAACCTAACCCTGGAAGATGCCAAGCGGCTCCGTGTGATGGGCGACATCCCAATGGAGCTGGTCAACGAGGTCATGCTCACCATCACTGACCCTGCTGCCATGCTGGGGCCCGAGGTAGGCAGCCTGGTTTGCTGGCCAATGGGGAGGGCGCCTCACGGATCTGAGACCTTAGCTCACTGCCCCTCTTCTGGTGCCCAGACTAGCCTGCTGTCAGCCAACGCAGCCCGGGATGAGACAGCCCGTCTGGAGGAGCGCCGCGGCATCATCGAGTTCCATGTCATCGGCAACTCGCTGACGCCCAAGGCCAACCGGCGGGTGTTGCTCTGGCTTGTGGGGCTGCAGAATGTCTTCTCCCACCAGCTGCCACGCATGCCCAAGGAGTATATCGCCCGCCTCGTCTTTGACCCGTGCGTCCCCAAGAGAGCCCAACCTCCCACCACAGTTGGGCACCTGTCCTTGGCCTCCCCGTCCCTCCCCAGGCCTCTTTGGGAACTCTTGTTTCTCAGTTCCAAGACTTAAGTATGTCTTGCCTCCAGGACTCTGGGGACCTGGGGAACATTTGGGGGACAGGTAGGGACTATGATCTGTACCCTCTTCCCTCAGGAAGCACAAGACTCTGGCCTTGATCAAGGACGGGCGAGTCATTGGTGGGATCTGCTTCCGCATGTTTCCCACTCAGGGCTTCACAGAGATTGTCTTCTGTGCTGTCACCTCAAACGAACAGGTCAAGGTGAGTGCGTGCCCCTGGCCCCAGCCCCTGCCCCATCCCACCACCTGCTTCTAAGTTTGGACCAGGTCAGAGCAGAGGTTTGGTGACGGAAGCAGCTCTCAACCATTCTTTTAGTGGCTAGACAGTTCCTCACTCGTCCACAAGGTGGCACTTGTACTTCAATAACTATGGACTGAGAAAATGCCTGTTGACAAATAGACTCTACGAATCGGTGACTTTTAAGTGGACTTGAATTTCTTTCATCACAAGAACGTTCGCAGACTTTGGGGAGTGAGTAATTTTCACAGCAGCCCTGTACTGGGTGATAGCCCCGGCTTCTATCCTTTCTCTGTCACAACAGACCCACTAGTAGGGTCCCTGGTTCTCCTTTTCACATAATCCAGATCTGCTTGGTGCCTCCTTGTTCCTGACATGTGTGGGAGATGGAGCAATGAGCAGGGCCTTCGGTATTCCTTTCCTCCTTCCTCCTAATTCTGAGGCCCGGGGACCAGGAACCAGTGGCCTGTGGACAGCAGCTTCCTGGTTGGGTTTGGATCTTGGCCCTGTTGTGACTGGCCACCTGACCTTGGACACACTTTCCCATGTAGCTGAGTTTCAGTTTCCCCTTCTGTAAAATGGCAGTCATACCTACTTTGTGGCTTAACTTGAGAATTGGTCTGTAAAATGCTGCTCACTGTACCTGGCCCAGAGAAAGTGCTTAGAAACCTAGGGTCCTTCATTTTTCTCCGCATAAACTCCCCATCTCTGCTGGTTGTCATTCTTCCTACCTGCCTTGGATCTCCTGACTAGGCCCACCTCCTGTTTAGTCTGCTTCCCCCTCTCTGGGCTCAGGGCCCTCCTAGGGCCTGTCCAGCACCAGGGCTGCTCCCTCTCCCCTGGTAAGCTCTGCTCCTTCCCTTGCAGGGGTATGGGACTCACCTGATGAACCACCTGAAGGAGTATCACATCAAACACAACATCCTCTACTTCCTCACCTATGCTGATGAGTATGCCATTGGCTACTTCAAAAAGCAGGTGACCCTCACCTCACCCCACCCCACACTTGCCCACCACCTGGGGCAGGGGTCATTCTGTCTAGTCCCCTGGTGTGGATGGACTGGGGATCACTTTGTGTCCCCCGTTCATCCAACACCTGCAGGCATGTCCTTCCTACCTGTCTTCCTAGTGCTGCTGCCCCAGCACGTAGGGTCCTGTAGGGCAGCTGGCAGAATTGAGAGGCTGTCAGGGGAGTGTCAGGAGGGACAGTTGACCTGGAATCTTTCCAGGGACAGATTGAGCCTTCCAAGTGCAGAACACTGTGCTGAGGACCACCAGAGGGGGTTCCGGAACTGGGGAGAGGGCACGTGGCACGCACTGCTCCTCACGTGCTCCTGGGGAGGGTCTGTTAAAGTGGAAAAAGTCTGGCTGATGCATTGACTCCCACTCTCTAGGGCTTTTCCAAGGACATCAAGGTGCCGAAGAGCCGCTACTTGGGCTACATCAAGGACTACGAGGGGGCAACACTGATGGAGTGTGAGCTAAATCCCCGCATCCCCTACACGGAGCTCTCCCACATCATCAAGAAGCAGAAAGAGGTTGTATGGGTGCACACGCATGCACTCGTCCATGGGGCTTTTTGTGGAGCTTGTGTGTGGGGATGAGCACGTGTGCGGATGTGTACTATGTGTGTGTGCATGTGTATACGTGAGGTGGAGCCAGGACCTTAGTTCTTTCTGTGCCTCTGAGAGAAGAGAGGGGGCACCTGAACTCATTGGTGCGGGCTCTGACTGTGGCCCGGGGAGGGTTGTTGCTGGGCTGGGGTTGGCTTCTCAGACCCTTCCTTCCTCAGATTATCAAGAAGCTGATTGAGCGCAAACAGGCGCAGATTCGAAAAGTCTACCCCGGGCTCAGCTGCTTCAAGGAGGGTGTGAGGCAGATCCCTGTGGAGAGTGTCCCCGGCATTCGTGAGCAGGGGTCTTGCTGGGGGAGGGGGCACTCTGCTTGGGGTGTGGACAGGCATTCTTAGGGGTATTCTCCCCACTTCCCACTTTGCAGGAGAGACAGGCTGGAAACCGCTGGGGAAGGAGAAGGGGTGAGTGTTGTATGGAGGGAGAGGGTGTTGGGGGAGGCAGAGGAACCAGGAGTCTCAGATTTGCCATCTGTCACCCCAGGAAGGAGCTGAAGGACCCTGACCAGCTCTACACAACCCTCAAAAACCTGCTGGCCCAAATCAAGGTGGGGAGACCAGGCTCCCTTCTGCGGGCTCCTGCGCCAGTGGCTGTGGCTTTATGACCCATTGTGGGTGGGTGACAGCCACATGCTGGGGGTGGGTGACAGTCACAAGCTGGGCATGGGGCACAGTGGGCCTGGCTGCAGCTCAGCTCTCCTCTCCAGTCACACCCCAGTGCCTGGCCCTTCATGGAGCCGGTGAAGAAGTCGGAGGCCCCTGACTACTACGAGGTCATCCGCTTCCCCATTGGTGAGGATACTCCATCCCGACCCCTTCCTTCCATTTCCGCTCCCAGATCTATTCACAGTCCCCTTCGACTCACTGTCCAAAGCTTCTAAATGGCACGTCCTTCTGTCCCGCTGCCCCAGACCTGAAGACCATGACGGAACGATTGCGCAGCCGTTACTACGTGACCCGGAAGCTCTTTGTGGCTGACCTGCAGCGGGTCATCGCCAACTGCCGCGAGTACAACCCCCCGGACAGCGAGTACTGCCGCTGCGCCAGTGCCCTGGAGAAGTTCTTCTACTTCAAGCTCAAGGAGGGGGGGCTCATTGACAAGTAGTCCCCGGACTTGGACTGCGGCCTCGACCTCGAACGTCTCCACCTTGGATGCTGACCCGATCCCTAGGGGCACCCCTGGTGCCAGGTCTTTCTCAGTGTGACACACTCCAGTCAGAGGCCCTTCGGCCCCTGATTCTGCAGCCCTTTTGGGGCCCTCGGCTACCCCCAAGCCTGCAGCTCTGTCCCAGCCTTCACGTGTCTGACCTTGGGAGGGGCCTTCTGGATCTGGGGTTCAGACCCTCTGCAGTGGCTGGATAAACCCTGCCCAGCCCCGGTGGCTCGCAGCCCTGGTCCCCACAGAGGTTTAGAGTCTTAGAGCCCTGGGCCTGGCCCAGATCAGTGTTTCCTCAAGAGCAGGACTACCAATTTTAGCTTGAATGAGTGGCCTCCAGGGGTTGGAAGTTCAACCTGGACTGGAGGGGCCATGCCTTGCCCTTCACTGTTCTGTCTGTCCCCCAGGGCTGAGGGACATGGGGACCATTCATTTCCTGGCATTAATCCCTTGGAAGGATCAATAAAGCTTTTTTTTTTTTCTCTCTGTGTGATTGTTTCTTCAGTAGTCCCCAGGCTTTAGCAGCCTGACCCTGTTCCCCCCAGTACCTCCTGCAAGTTGGAGCCTATTCAGCTCAGGTTGTGCTGGGGACACCACCCCAGCAAGCCTCAGGTCTAGTCCCGTGCCCCTAGGGGGACAGGATCTGCCTGGCTGCAGCCCTCACTTCTCCCCACTCTTGGCTGTTCCTGGTCCAGGTGCTGGGGCGGCAGGTTCCAGTTCATCTGGCTGCCTTTGCTTGGGTGACATGATAACAGCCGACTCCAAAAGGAGTGAGGGTGGGGTGGGGTGGCTGGCCAGACCCGAAAGTTATGAAAGGATGCTTTCCTGTCAGAATTTCTGTCCCCCATTCTGAGTCTCAGGCAGTTCTTTCTCAGGGTTGTAAAGGGAGATTCCGAAGGCTGAGCTCCAGCTTGCTGAGCTGGCTCCTCCCCTCAGTTTCAGTTTCCATTTTCCTTCTCGGCAGAGCCCAGTGCCCAGCAGACGGGCTGCACCTAGCAGACGGGCTAAGCCAAGCAGACGGGCTGCGCCTAGCAGGGCTGCTCTTGGCTGGTGGTGCAGGTGAGGCTGGACGTGAGGCTGGACTTGAGTCAGGTATAGTCTGTGTTACCCCTGCTTTCTTGGCTAGGTTCCTGGCAGGTCCCCTCCGTGCCCTGTCCCACCTCCCTCAAGAAGGTTGGAATCTTGGGCAAAGGGAGGTCTCTGCACGGGACTAGCAAGCTGGTAATTAGTGGGGGGCAGCTCGAAGGGGGTCTGGCCTGGGAGGGGGCCAGGAGGGCCAGGGATCTGAGTCCCCTGCCATTCCCAGAATGGAGCTGCGACCCTACCAGTGGGAGGTGATCATGCCTGCCCTGGAGGGCAAGAATATCATCATATGGCTGCCCACGGGGTCTGGGAAGACCCGGGCAGCTGCTTATGTGGCCAAGAGGCACCTCGAGACTGTGGACAGAGCCAAGGTGGTGGTATTAGTCAACAGGGTGAGTGGCCTGCCCTCTCCCCAGTGGACTCTCAGCTCCTGGGGTGCCTTTCAACACCCTCCAGAACTCCAGAGCTGCTGTGGCCATCTCTAAGGTCACCTTCTTTTCATCCACCCTACACCCTTGCCCCCCATCCAGCTTCCTCTCTCCGCCTCATCTCCACCCCCAGGTACACTTGGTGACCCAGCATTATGAAGAGTTCAGCCACATGCTAGATGGGCGCTGGGCCATCACAACCCTGAGAGGGGACATGGGGCCACGACCTGGCTTTGGCCACTTGGCCCGGAAGAATGATCTGCTCATCTGTACGGCTGAGCTGCTGCAGATGGCACTGGTCAGCACTGAGGAGGAGGAACACGTGGAGCTCAATGGTGAGGCACCCCTGAGGCACCCCTGCCTGCCAAACCCAGGGCCCCACTTCTAGTAAAGACGTTGGGAGATTTCGTGGGAGTGAGAGCTCCCCCATCTGCCAAACCCCAGCATACACCCTAGTAGAAAAAGACCTGGCTACACTGCAGGATCTTGGGCATGTCCCTTCCCCTAGCTGAGCCTCAGTTTACTAATCTATAAAATGGAGGTAAATCATCCCTGCCTGGCCGTTCTCTGGGGTCTGACTGCAAGTTGTAAGAGAGGAAGGAATTCTCAGATGCTATGTGGGGACCACATGAACCCAAACTTTTGAGAGGAAGGGCTTTGCAAACATAGGTCACAGCCTCTCCCCACGTGCCCCCAGAGTTCTCCCTGCTCGTGGTGGATGAGTGTCACCACACGCACAAGGACACTGTCTACAACATCATCCTGAGTCGGTACCTACAGCATAAACTCCAGAGGACGTGGCCCCTGCCTCAGGTGCTGGGTCTCACCGCCTCCCCAGGCACTGGCAGGGCCACCAATCTCGATGGAGCCATTGACCACATCTTGCAGGTCAGCTTGGCCCCCGTGATCTCCATCTACCCTGACCCACCAGGGACCTCCCTGGCCTGCCCTACCCGATGCCCACCAGCCCTACCCCAGCCTCCCCCGGCAGGGTCCGGACTCACCTAGGTTCTAGCCTCCAAAGACTTCTTATTGCACTTAGAATAAACACCCAACTCTCTACTCTGGCTTACAAGGTTCCACATGACCTAGCCCCTGCCTACCTCTCCAACCTCATTTCCTCCACCCTCCCCTTCACTCCTGCTGTACTGGCCTTCTCTTGAGCATGTCAGGCTTGTTCCCATCTCAGGACTTTTGCACTTGCCATTCCTTCTGCACCGAATGCCCTCCCCTCCACCCCGCCTTTTACCTGTCTGTCTCCTTGTTATTCAGGGAATAGCTTACATGTCACCCCTTCAGAGTCTTTCCTGATCATCCCCACTATACTCTGTCACATAATCCAATTTTATTCTCTTCAGAGCTTGTTAACACTATCTGAAATTCTAATCCTGTTGTTCTTTGCTAGTTTATCATCTATCTCTCCAACTCCAACATAAGATGCCCCAGTACCTAGTACAACACCAGGCACAGAGAGGGAGAGCCATAAATATTTGTTGAATAGATGACTCCCCACCCTCAATGGCCCTGCCTCAGTTGGGACCCAACCTGCCCCAAAGCTCTGCCCATTGTCCCCACAGGAACCCTCCCCATTTCAGTGAACCCCTCTCTCCCTATTGTCCCAGCTCTGTGCCAGCCTGGACACATGGCGCATCATGTCGCCCCAGACCTACCGCCCCCAGCTGCAGGAGCACAACCGCCAGCCCTGCAAACAGTATGATCTTTGCCACAGGCGCAGCCAGGTGTGTGGAGGGAGGGGCATAATGCCGGGGTGGAGCCCCGGGGTGAAATCAGCACAGCTGAGGTTGAGCCCTGACTCCCTGACTCCATCCTCACTAGCTCTGTGACTTTAGGTTACTTGCTTATGTATCTGAGCCTTCATTTCTTCTTTCTGTGAAATGGGGCAGATGCAGCCCGTGCCCACAGCCTGCTGTTTGGTTTCACTCAGATGCCACTGTGCACATCTGTCAAAACCCTGGGTATGCTGCAGAGTGCTTTGGGAATCACATCATAGGACACTTTGTGCTGAGGCTGTTCCAAGTTCTCTCCTGCGGTTTGGACACTACCTGGTGTCTTCTATGACAAGGCTGGACAAGGACTAGACGTAACTGTTTTCAAGCCAGAGGTCAAGGGCACATAGGGAGAGGAGACAGAGCAGGGGCTGGATTTAGGAACCTGACCCCTGCCTCCAGCCATGGCTTCTTGACAACACAGCTGTTCTCCCCCTGGAGCTCCTTCCTCTCCAACACCTACAGGAGGGCAAGTAGCGGCAAGGCTTCACACAGAGATCAGAGCCCTCCTCCGCTCCCCAGGTGTCCATTCCCCCATGTGTATAGAAATTTTATCATGCCCTCACTCTGCTCATCCAGGACCCGTTTGGGGACATGCTGAAGAAGCTCATGAACCAAATCCATGACCACCTGGAGATGACCGAGTTGAGCCGGGACTTTGGGACGCAGATGTATGAGCAGCAGGTGGTGGAGCTGAGCCAGACGGGTGAGAGGGGTGACCTGGCAGAGGGCGGAGCGGCGGGTACAGTCCAGGATTCAGCCAGACTGGGCAGATCCTCTAGGGGGCGGAGCTCAGTTTTGGGGTGGGGTCTAGGTGGGAGGGGCCCTGGGGCGTGGCCTCTCAGACCTTGCGCCCCCTGCCGGCCTGCAGCTGCTGAGGCCGGGCTCCAGCAGCAGCGGGTGTACGCGCTTCACCTGCGGCGTTACAACGATGCGCTGTTTATCCACGACACGGTACGCGCGGTGGACGCCCTGGCGGCACTGCAGGATTTCTACGACAGGGAGCGTGACACCAAGACCCAGGTTCTGCGTGCCGAGCGCTGGCTGCTGGCGCTGTTCGATGGTGAGGCTCGCGGGGAGGAGGGTGTTCAGAATGGGACTAGTGGTCAGAGGCCAGCCAGGGGCCGGATGCCAATGCGGATTGAGAAGGTCCCAACGAGGGTACTGGGGCTCTATTTTTGTAACCAAAAGTCAAGGCCGTGGATGTGACAAAAGATATATGCCCTCATTTGTGAAGGTTTGCATAGATGTAAAAATTAATTTATGTTACTGACAAAGGTTATTTGAAAACCATTTAATTTGGGACTCCTCGAAAGTCTGGAGTGTGTAGTATTTTTAAACTGGGAAAGTGAGGGGGTCAGGGGGTGAAATTTAAGGCTAGTAGCCTCAGTATAGGCTGAGGGGCAAGGTCAGTGCTGAGTTGCAGAGGTCAGCATGAAAAGGTCAAGGGTCATTCTGGTAGCAGGATTGAAGAGAGGTGCTGGATAAGGTATGTGAGCGAAGGATTCTAGACTGTAGGCCCCTGGTGTAAGGCTGGCTGGCCTTGAGGCTGGACGGGCAGAGGGTGTCCTTACACGTGTTCTTGGTGCTACTCAGGGGAAAGTAGACTGGAGCAGGTATCCTCAGGCTCCTTCTGGACTTCTACAATCCTATCCCTGTGAACCCCTACCCCATGTCCTGCTCACCTCTGGACCTGAGTCCTATGCCTCTGTTTTGGGGCTTTTCTGTCAGACCACAAGAATGAGCTGGCCCTCCTGGCAACTCAAGGCCCTGAGAACCCGAAACTGGAGATGCTAGAACAGATCCTGAAGAAGCAGTTTGGGAACCCTGGCAATCCCAGGGGCATCGTCTTCACCTGCACCCGTCAGAGTGCTCACTCCCTCCTCCTCTGGCTCTGGCAGCAGCCTGGTCTGCAGACAGTGGACATCAGGGCCCAGCTGCTGATTGGGGCTGGGAATAGTAGCCGGGGCACCACTATGACCCAGGTGTGGGCTTTGGGGAAAGGAGCTGAGGCTGGGGGAGTTCCCTAAGGGAGAAGAGAAGGGGTGAGAGTCTTTAGCACAGAGAGATGGGGTGACTGATTATCTCCAGGCAGAGGGCAGAGAGCTGGGGGAGAAAGGCAGATACCGAGATCCCCAAGGCTGAAGGTTCTCCCTGTCTGAGAGTCTGTGGGGACAGAGAGGCAGAAACTTGGGGGTCTGCAGGAAAAGAGGTGAGTGATGTCCTCAGGACAGAGAATTGGGAGTCTGAGGTCTTTTTTAGGAGAACAGGTCCTGAGAGCTCCTAGAGAACAGGGGCAGAGACCTTTAGGAGTCCCTAGGGGATAGAGGGGTTAGACGATCACCTGAGAAGATGGGCAAGATTCTGGGGGGATCTGGGGATGAAGGTGGAGACTCAGGGTCCCTTGGGAAAGCAGCTAAGATTTTGAGTAAAAGGGCTGAACCAGAAGAGGCTGGGCTGGCAGGAGGGTAGGCCTGAACCCACCTCATGTACCATCCTCTTCCTCTTCCTTTTCCCCTAGAGGGACCAGCAAGAAGTGATTCGCAAGTTCCGAGTTGGCACCCTGAACCTCCTGGTGGCCACAAGTGTGGCGGAAGAGGGACTGGACATCCCCCAGTGTAATGTGGTGGTGCGCTATGGGCTCCTGACCAACGAGATCTCCATGGTCCAGGTGCCCAAACTACCCCCCTTGACAGCCCTTGAAGGATCCTATGTGGGACCCTAGTCCCACTCAGGGCCCTCTCTTATCTCCCTCCCCAGGCAAGGGGCCGTGCCCGGGCCAATGAGAGTGTGTACTCGTTCGTGGCAACCCATGGCAGTCGGGAGCTGCAGCGGGAGCAGACCAACGAGGCACTGGAGATTCTGATGAAACGGGCAGTGACTGCTGTGCAGGAGATGGACCCGGCTGAGTACCAGGCCAAGGTCTGTGGACAACCTGTGCACACGTGGGGAGAGGGACTGTGGATGTTCTGCCTGGAAGGTCTCTGATGCAAACGCATACACATCCCTGTTCCCCCTTCCTCTGGAGGCGAACTTGGCCCACCTGGGGAAGGTTTGAATCCAGGGCAAAGTAGAAGCCAGAGATGGAGTTGCTGGGAAGGCAATGGCTGTTTCCCTAAAATGCCTTGGGAACAGATCTCATCCAAGGCTTTTAGTTTATCCTTATCATCAAATACTTATATATCTGTGAGAGCCACCTTACAGCCCTTCTAGAACCAAGCAATGGGGAAAGCAAAGACACATGCACGAAATAAGCCCAGAACCAGCACTTAAATCAGTCCCCTGAGGTAGAATCATCATGACTCAGCCTCGTGCAGGATGGTCCCTGTTACTCCTGTTGTCCCAATATAATTATTAATGGTACCCCATGTTAGATTCAAAGAAGCAGTTGTGCACAAAATCCTCCGAAGATTCTGTGAAAAAGTTTGCCCTGCTCCCATTGTTACCCGCTATCCCACTATTAGGTTTCTTCAATGAGCTGCTTCCGAAAGCTCCAGGCAGGGTTAGGGAAAGCCTCTTCTGGGTACTAATGATCTCAGGTCTTAAGGAACCCTTTGTCCACTTAGGAGCATTCCTGGTGTTAGGTCTCTCGTGTCCTAGCCATACCTGGTATCCTCTCCACCCCAGATCCGAGATCTGCAGAGGGCAGCCCTGGTCAAGAGGGCAGCCCAGGCAGCCCAGCAGGAGAGTAGACGGCAGCAGTTCCTGGCGGAGCAGGTGCAGCTCCTCTGCATCAACTGCATGGTGGCCGTGGGCCATGGGAGCGACTTGCGGAAGGTGGAGGGTACCCACCATGTCAACGTGAACCCCAACTTCTCGTGAGACCTGTGGAAGGGGCTGTCCAGATGAGAGGGAGGGTGGGGTGCATTAAGGTTTCGGGAGTTTAAAGAGCATTTTAACAAGTACCAAGTTTGCATTTTCACGATAGTCCGGCTGGATGGGTTTTATCATCACCGCGTTGAGCAGGTGAGGAAGTAGTCTCAGAGATACTCAGTGACTTGCCTAAGTTCCCACAGCCACTGCAGTTTGGAATTCAGGATACCAAATGCTGAGGGACCACAAACTGGCCCCCGGGTCCTACCTACTATGAAGACATCAAGAGGGACTGGTCGTCCCTTAGCATCCCCTCATCCTCTGCCCCCTAGAGGTAGCCTTTCCTCATCCTCCCTTCGTTCATTTGTTAAGTAAGCATTTATTAGGCACCTGCTGTGTGTCAGGCCACTGTGCCGAGGGGTCTTCACACAGGTTCTCTCATTTGAGGAGGTCTCATTTCAATTAGATCTTGAAGGATGGCTGGGTTTGGCTATGAGAGGAAGATAGACAGGGATGATGTGACAGGCGTGATACTAGTTGACTTGAGCGGACGAGATTCTGAAGAAAGACAGACTAGCTTGGTGAGGACCTTGAGGGTCGGACTGAGAGTTTAGCCTTTATTCTGTAGGTAGTGAGGAGTCTTGGATGGATTCTGAGCGGGGGAATGTCAGAGTCATATTTACATTTTTAGAAGATTACTCTGGCAGTTGGCAGAGAATACTGTGGGGGTGGGCGTAAGGATGGAGTGCAGTAGAAGGGTGGGGAAGATCCACTGGGAGATTGTTTAAGTCGTCCAGGTGCGTAGTGCTGAGGCCTGAACCTGGTCGGAAGGGAATATAATGGAGGCAGCACAGGCAGAACTCATTGACGTCTCGAGCCTCTGCACAGGCAGCAAGTAAGACAGCATGTGGTTTGGGCATGGAGCGGGGTGGGTTCATGAGAGCTGTGGCCACTCCCATTCTTTTCCAGGATCTACTACAATGTCTCGCAGAAGCCTGTGGTCATAGACAAAGTCTTCAAGGACTGGAGGCCTGGAGGCACCATTAGCTGCAAGAACTGTGGGGAAGTAAGTATGGGTGCAATAGCCCTCAGCTCCAGTCTTTAGAGGTCCTCATTCTGAGAAAGGAGGCCCAGCCTCCATCATCAGGGTGCCCTCATTGGGATGGGGAAGACAGACCTGCCTCAGGAGCCCGCAAGTCTGAGGAGGGTGGTCCAGGCCCTATCTTTGGGAACCACAGTGTGATGGAGGAGATAGCTCTGTTTGAAATAGAAGACAGAGGCCCTGCATTCAGGGACCCCAACCTACGAGGAGCCCAGTCTGAGGGCAGAGATCCAGACCCTGCTGTCTCTGTCCTACCCCCAGCTATGGGGTCTACAGATGATCTACAAGTCGGTGAACCTGCCAGTGCTCAAAGTCCACAGCATGCTGCTGGAGACGCCACAAGGGCGGGTCCAGCCCAAGAAGTGGTCCCGCGTGCCCTTTCCCGTGCCTGACTTCAACTTCGTGCAGTACTGTGCCCAGAACCTGTCAGAACTCTCCCTGGCCTAACCATCTTGTCACTGCAGTGCCTGGCTCGGGCTGCAGGGGGCAGGAGAATCCACAACAGCTACTGTCTTCTGAGCAAAGCCTGGGTGCACCCCCCTCCTGGCTGAATCACCAGCTCATGCGCCCAGGCTACCTGACTCCCACACTGAGGAAGCAGCTGAAGGGCCACAGCTCACCCTCTGACCCCCCTCCCACCCACACAGACACTCATACACACTGGATGGAGTGGGAATGGGGTTGGGGAGGACCGGAGGCAGGAGAATACCCCCTTATCCACGGTTTCGCTTTTCAGTTACCCACAGTCAACTGCAGTCCGAAAATATTAAATGGAAAACTCCAGAAATAAACAATCTATAAATTTTAAATTGTGCACCATTCTGAGTAGCGTGATGAAATCTCATGCCATCCTGCTCTGTCCCACCTGGATGTGAATCGACTCTTTGTCCAGCATATCTACACTATATACACCACCCGTCTGGTTGGTAGTCACTTAGGAGCCATCTGGGTGATCAGATTGACTGTCTAGGTATCTCAGTGCTCGCATTCAAGTAACCCTTACAGTAGCCTGTGTCACGATGCCTACGTCATTTCACCTCACTTCATCTCCTTACCTAGACATTGAATCATCTCACATAATCACAAGAAGGTGAGTATAGTATAATAAGATATTTTGAGAGCAAGAAACCACATTTATATAACTTTTATTACAGTATATTGTTATAATTGTTCTACTTTATTGTTAATCTCTTACTGTGCATAATTTATAAATTAAACTTTATCATAGGTATCTATGTATAGGAAAAAACAGTATGTCTGTGGTTTCAGGTATCCACTGGGGGGTTTGGAACATGTCCCCCACAGATAAGGGAGGACTACTATGCTAGGAATCACCGGTTTCCACTGGCCCCTTAACATTCTTTCCCTGCCAAGGCCACTTCTGTTTTTTTTTTGGCTCCCTACAAGTTAAAAAATTTTTTTAAATGGAAAATCAGTGTAGAAAATGTGTGGCATTTTAAAAACATTTGTTGAGGCATAATTTACAAAATAAGCTGTACATATTCATAGTGTGCAATTTGATAAGTTTTAATGTATGTATGCTCCTCCACAATCAATATAATGAACAGAGCCATCACCCTCAAAACATTCCTTGTTCCCATTATAATCCCTCCCTCCTCCCCTCTCCATGATCTGCTTTGTGGTATATTTTTAATGTTAAAAGTTTGTTTGTTTTTTTTTAACACCCCTCTTCATGGATATCGTGTAACCTTATTTGGAGTGAGCATCAAAAGTCTAAAAATGAGAGCCATCAAAAATATGAGGCCTTCCTGCCCTCTCTACCTCATAAGGGGCTTCAGCCCCAATACCCCTCTCTCCATTTTCCCCTGCCCCCCAGGTCATCTCCCTTGGGCTGGGAAGAGGCTGAGAGAACTTGAGGAAGAGGCATGGGGGTGGGGGAAATTGTAAAGGCCTAAATTTTCTGTTCTCATTTTAACAAGAAAGAAAGAAAGATAAAGAAAGGCAAGATCTAGGTTGATTCTTCAGGGAAAGGGCTATTTCTGTAGTAAGAGGCCCAGCAGGCATGAGTCACCTTCAAGAGGGAGGGAGGGGGCTAGGGCAGAGATTTGAGAGCAGGATGGCGGTCCTTCCTGCTACCTAACCTGTTTTTCTCCTGCTACATCCTTGGTCCTGCCTCAGGGTAGGTGGGAAATAATGCACTCTCTCTTCCCCAGTATATTCCTCAGTCCGCCTCTTGTCTGATTGAGAGCTGAAATTCCAGTTCTGTACCCTTCTTTCTCAGGGTCCTTCCTCCTAATCTCCGGTGTCTCTCGGCCCTGGCTCCAGGAGTCACCACCCTTTTCCCTCTCGTCCCATCTTCACCTCCCAGGAGTCCCTTCTGTCCCCATCTGCTCCCACTTCGCCTTCGGTTGTTATCGCCCCTGCCAGCAATGTGCCTTTTACAGGTCAATAAAATTAGCGACTGGGGGTAGAGGGAGGGGGGCATGGGCCCAGGGGTGCTAAGCTCAATGGCCTTGAATGTGGCTGGACTCACGGAGTCCGGACGCCTGTCATTCCAGGGCTAAACAGTGACAGCTGAGAGACCTGAGCTGGTGTTGGGGGCGGAGGGGGACTGTGTTGCAGGGAGAGAGAGAGGGACTGAGGATAAAGATGACCTGGGCATCTAAGAGCCCCTGGATGGGAACAGGGGGTGGGGACACTTTAGAGGGCATATCCTATCTATACCCACCTTACCAGGCTGGGAGAGCTTTCTTGAGCTCAGACGAAAGGGAGAACTCAAGCAAGGGCGCAGAAGTGAGGGGTTTCCCAGGTTTTCTTCGAGCGAGGGTCTTTAAATGGAGCCACTCCCTCCAGGGTACCTGGGCAAGGCTGCCTGAGGAAGAGATTTCACGAAGTCCTCAGGACCCAAGCATCCTAACTTTCCAGCCCTCAGGAAAGCCAGAGCGCCAGACCTCCCTAGTGGCCGGGATGCACCCCTCTTCTTCCCCACCTGCATAAGCCGGTCCACCCACCCGGCCGAGACTCAGGGAGGGGCTCGGCTGCAGCTCCCCCTCCCGGCCCCGCCCCCGGTCCGGTCCCGCCCCTTCCCTGGCCAGCCCAAAGCCGCTGCCCTACCCAGCGCTGCCAGAGCAGGTGGCCGCGGCGGGCTCCGTCTCTGCCCCGCAGGTAAGTCAGCGACGCGGTCTGGTCCACACTAAGGACGTCGAGGGCAGCGCAGGAGTACAGGGCATCCCCTTCCACCTGTCTTGTGCCCTTGTCTCAAAATTGGGGTCCCCAAAGGACAGTGAGGACATTCCTATCGGCTCTGCGCACCGACCCTGGGCATCTAGACGGTGAGACTAAACTCTGGGGAAGTTTAAAGGGTCCCTGCTGGTTATCCCTGATGCCGGGGCGGACTCCGAGAGATGATGGGGAAGGGCTGAGCTGGACATTAGGCACACTGTTTTCTGGAGAAGAGCACGTTGCGGGTGGTGGCTGTGGGCTCCAAGTAAGGAACCTCATTGACCTGCGTGCCCCGTGCCTCATCCAAGTGCAGCATCCTACCCGCCCCCTCCCTTAGAGAGTGATGGGGTGACCCAAAAGGCTTCTGTTCTGGTGCAAATAAAGTAAGAGCCACTGGATAGCTGAGCTGGGGCCTGGGTTTTCTAATGAGCCCCAGGGCACCTGTATCATTTACTTACACCAAGGTTCAGATGTGCGAGGGTGAGGAATTTGAGGGAGCAGGGGTCGTACAGATTGCCTGAGAAACCCAGGGGCCTGGGGACTAAGATCTTTTCTGTGTTCGTGTCCCAGAGCCACGTGGGGGAGGCGATCACAGAAGTGGCCCTTATCGTAGACATGGGGTGCGTTTGCACCCTCCCTGTTGGGATTTAGGTTGTAGGAAAGGGGTCCTGCCTCCCACAACCTCAAGGAAGTCTTTCTAGAAAAGGAGGTCTTGGGCGGGCAGCTCAGATGTGACGCTTAGACCTCAGAGCCACGGAGGAGAGCCAGACTTTGGGCCTTGATACTGGGTTAGGGTAGAGCAGAGGAGCCCGATTGTAAAGTGGAGGTAGGTCAGGATGCTGCCATGGATCCAGCCGGGACCCCATAGACCTTCCGGATCATCACACACCTCGGACAGACCAGCATCCAGACAGATGGGAGGGCTTTCCGTGTCTGTGTAATTTCCCCATTCCACTGTTTCCTCCCGCCGCACACACCGTCATTGTCAGGAAGTTCTTTCTCATACATGACCTTCATCCCTTCTGCTTCTGTGCCAGCTTCTTGCTTCTGGGAGGCAGTGTGCTATAGGAGAAGGAGTGGGGGCTTTGAGGTCAGTTAGACTTGAGTTCTATCGCCTTCACCTACTTACTGTGCGGCCTTGGGCAAGTTACTTAACCTCTTTGAATTCGCTTCCCCACCTGTAAAATGGGGATAATAATAGAACCCACCTCATAGGGTGGCTGCAAGGATTAAGTGAGAATATGCCCATAGAGCTCTTAGCACAGTGCCTGGCGCCTGGTGAGGGCTCAACGAGTATAAGTGTCCCCTTGTGTGTAGGACAGCAAAGCCGATCTGCCGGGGTGGGGTGGGGGTTGGAAGTTTTTTTTAAAACTTGGCCAGAGAGAGCAATGTCCTTCACTGCTACCACCCCACCAGTCCCTGCCCGCTGCTGGTCCTTGAATCTCTGCTAGACGTGTCTGGGCTGCCCAGGGCCCCTCACCTCCTCATCTCTTAGTCACCCTGTTTTTGTCTCCAGGGTGAGGAGAGGGGCCCCAGCAGAACAGGGACCAGAGATAGCAGGAGCCCACTTGGGACTATGATTCAGGGGAACAAACTGGCTTAAAGACCCAATAAAAAAAAAAAATGCGCTATTGTCATCACCTCCCTGCCCTCCCCACCTCCAGAAATCCACGAGTTGGGGTCAAGCTGCACTAAAATTTTCCAGGAAGAAAAATACTATAAGCCCTGTTTGGGGATTGTCCAAGCTGCCCTCCAACGGAATGACAGCTTCAGTTGCTGGCTGGAGCTCTGGAAGCTGCTGAGGAAGGCTGAATCTAGTAAGCACTCTTAAACCTGGGCAAGGGAGGGGATGCCCATGCCCTAGCTGGGTGCTTTCAAGGGCTCCACTGTGGCATTCCTCTGGCCATCCTCCTCCCTGTGGGGTGAGGAGTCAGCAATGCCAAAGGAGGAGCCTGTGCGTCTCCTTCGAGACTACATTCCCTATACCTGTGACTCTGAAGGCCTTTGCCCGGATGGTCACCAACTTGCTCCCAGCTCATGCAAGCCTCTCCTGTGGGCCTGTTCTCCCCAGGGCAGGTTATGCCATTAAGTGTGCACCCTAGACCTGAGGGGCAACTAAAGGTGGCTAAAGGTCATTGTTTGCAGGCATGAAGATAGAACTAGGATGTGAGGCTGAGTGTCTGCATCCATGCATATGAGTCCCTTGTGGTGCAGAAAGAAGCTGGCATTGGGAAGGGGGATACTGGCTGGGGCCAGGGTGGGAGTAGAGCTGTCTCTCCCTCCATAGTGTGTCCTTCCACAAAATTCCCAGGAATCATAGAATTCTAAATTGGAACCTGGTCTTCCAGGTCGTTATGAAAGTATATTTATCAAGGTGGAAAGTTACAATATATTTTATTAACAATTTGTTAGCTTGATATATAACTTTTAAATATTTAGACGTGTGTATGGGCCCCCATTTGTCCTCTTGTCCTAGGCCCTGCAAATGTGAGGGTGGGCCTGGAAGCTTCTGTGACTGACATCACTGTTTGGTGAATTCCCTTCCTGCTGGCCGTCTCCCAATATAGTAGTGTCCCTGTAAAACTGGGCTTAGGACACGCCCCCTCCTGGACCAGGAAGGAGTTTC